TTTTTTTTTTTTTTTTGGGTACATATCACATGTTAATGTTAACTATAGTCAGGGAAACTGTTAGTTACTTACATTCTTGACACCACCACTGTCATTGACAACAACCACATCAAGGGGTGAATCTTTCAGGCCATGCCAGCACCAAAGGAAGTTCCTGCCAATGCGTCCAAATCCATTGATTGCAACCTTCAGTTTGGCAACAGTTTCTCTCCTGATAGGAGTTGATGCTACTGTCTAAATTTGGAAATACATTCAAGGCCATTAGAAGTCAGAACCGCAACAATGTAGCCTCACAACAAACTATATTTTAGGAACAAAAGGTTAATGTTGAAAGTACTTTGTACATTTTTTGTATATTTTCCCTTGATAGATGATTATTCACAAGGATGGTGCGTTTTTTCTTTCATAGAAGATATCATGAGATTCATGAAAAGTTATAAGCAGAGACATTTCCTTTTATGCAGTCTATTCCATAGCTCGGAAGATCTGATCAATGGTTTTAGTTTCAAAAAAAGATGAGACTGTTAGAATATATAAAAAGATGTTTTTATGGACTCAGAACTCCAGAACAACTTAATTGTGCCCAATTTTGCAAGAAAGCACTAAATAATTCTTAGAAAGATATTACTATGAATGGTCTAATCTCTGTGCACAAGCATAAAACAAGAAAGAAAATTCCAAAAAGATCAGAAGGCTGAAGTAGGCAATCAACCTTAGGAGTAAGCTAAGCAGCCACCACCTCAAAAAAAAGAAGTTCCTCTGGCATTTGTAGCATATGTCACGCAAGAGTTGGAACGGAGACTAGAAACTTAGCTACTTCTAGCCTCTGCAAAACAAAATCAGAAATGAATATCCTAGAAAACTTAAGGGAAAAAGAGAAAACCAAGAAGAAAAAGGATAGACCTTAGAAATGCATTGGGTTGAGAAGGAGCTGCTCTTAGATGGAATCTTGGTGCCTCTGGGGATTCTTGAAGAAAAAGGATAGACCTTAGAAAACTTAGTTTGTCCCTTTGTTGGACTGTGCTCGTTCGATCAACTGAGTTTTATATTTCTTTGCATTGTCCGGCGTGGCGGCGGCGTCACCAAGAGCCCCTTTTAACGGCTACCCAGACTCCGAAATTGTGATCTCGATTGTCTGATTACCAAACCCCAGAGCGTTTATTGTCGATCTAATTGCATCAATTTGAGCATCCAGCATGTTGTTGTAGATATACCCTTTTGGGTCATGGACGGCGGTGGCATTTCCGAGCAAAGCATATTCTAAATCGACGGCACTGAGGTTTTCCTTGCAGGCAAAATATGGGTAAGCATTAATCATGAACAGCGCACCGGTATCGGCCAAAAACCCAAGGCGAGAACCGCCATGCTGTGCTGCGTGGTGACCTAAATTTTTCGGTCGAGCCCACGAGTTACAAGCCCCAAATGGGTTCTGCATTGCATGCACCAGTGCGTCGACCGGAATTCGTTGTCAAGTACTCGTTTTTGACACAGATAACTACAGTGGAGGTGGCGGGAATGAAGGGGACGCCACGGGTGGCAAGCCATTCGTCGACGGCGGAAACGTCGGTGCTGAAATTTGCAACATGCTGGTTTTCTACGGCTTCCATGTGAAAACTAGCCCAAGATCAATGGCGGTGTTGCAGAAGGCTTCGAGGATTTCCGGATTGGTGTCGTAGATTTTGACCTTATCAAGTAAGGTGGATTGGAGGAGCTAAGCTACTTTCTTGGGTGAAGGAAGGTTGGTTCCAAGGGTTCCGTAGTTAATGCCGACATCGAAAACAGGCCAGAATGTGCCGAAGAAGAGGAGATGGTGGAGGAAAGGAAGGGCTATCTTTCTTACTATGCTAGAGATAGGTTTAATAAAATAAAATATTAGGAATGAAACTTATTTGGGCTTAGAATAAAAAGAAAATCAAGGATCCTGCCATTAGGCTACCTCCAGTTCAGAGACGGAGTAAATTTTGATATTTCAGATTTTATTTAGTGAAAATTTTGTTTCCAAAGCGTGAATTGTAGGGACTTAAGTATTTTGAACATGGAAAAATTGTTAACGTACCTAATATGAGACAAAATTAGCATAATTGATTAAAAGGATGTTATACCTAGCAAAGAGGTCAGGTCAGTTTGGATTTAGTTGTTTTGGGTCTCTGGTTTATTAAGTTGAGACTTGAGAGTTTGACTCTCATAATTGGCATATTTTTTTCATTTTTTTTTTTTTTTACTTTAGCTTTGTTTCACAGTACTTTGAGCAAACCTTTTTTTCACATTACAGTTTACCTAAAAATATTAATTTTTTATTTTTAATTAACTTCGTATTTACTTTTACTAATTTTTATGAGTATTTTATATATTTGATAATGGTTTTGCTAATTTAAATTGTGGGCTTAGCCCATATAAGTTTGGTTTAATTCTTCTTGGGCTAAACTATTAATTTATACCAATTGGGCCTTAGTTTCGATGAATATTGGCTATCGTATTGAGCTAGAGTTAGGATCATAATAGGGGGTGAGCATTTTCGAGTACAATCGGATATGAAATATATTTGATATTTAATTTGAAAATTTATATATATAATTTTTTAAATTTGATATTTATCTAAATATTTAAAAATTTATACTTAGTACTTAACCTAACATATACTAAATAACTTACAAATGTATATTT